GATGAACAGTGCTATAGAAGTGTAAGCAAAATAAACCCTTTCCTCTCCAACTTGCCATCTTACCAGAAGCCCCAAGAAAGGTTCTTAGGAAAGAAAATAGAACAAAGGGGCTCATTGCACAATCCTGTGATGATGATGGGAATACACAATTTGGCATGCACGAGACCTACTCGTACACATACATACAGACACATATGTACCCTCACTCGTACACATACACATACACACACACACACACACACACACACACACACACACACACACACACACACACACACATACAACTGAAATCATGCCACTCTCTCTTACACACACACACACACACACACACACACACACACACACACACACACACACAAATTATTTAAGGGAAACAGAGGGCATCATCGCGTGGCAGTGACCAGTCATTTCCCTGTAGAGATGAGTGTCTGGTCTTCCCTTTAGCTTTCTGTAATTCAAAAAGTTACTCAATAGTTCAGTAACCATAAATGTCAGACACACCCATGTGTTGGAGCAAACAGGATATGCACTAAGACTTATTATTCATTGTAGTGTTCCAAGTTATGTGTGAGAATCCTAATACATGAAATAAAAACAACAGTGGAAAAATACATGAGTTAGTTTCCTATTTTAGCCTTAAAATATTGATGATTTCTAAGGCACACAAATCAAGAAAAGCATATTTCCTAAACATACTAACAACAAACAAAAACTACCAGAAAAAAATAGGATATTATTGTGATAGGTTTGTGTTTGGCTTGCATGGATTCTGGGATGCATAGAATAAACCCTTTTCCTGAGTGTGTCTGTGACCAGAATGCCAGAAACACTGGACTCAGAACTGTAAACTAACAGTCCATGAAGAGTCCACCATCTAATCCACTGAGGGTCTGATGGGCATTTTAGGTGGAAAAAGGACATTACTCGTCTTGGCCAGCATGGCCTCTGAGGCTGGGCCATCTATTTCTTTCTGTGTTAAATGCCAGAGGGTTCCTGTGACTGAGTGGAGAAATGGGTACAACCTTCTCCATAATGTCTCTGCTGCCAGTCTCTTCCACCAAAGACTGAACTTTTCCCTTTGTACATTTTGTTCTGAATTCTAGCATCCATCTGTCCATCAAGATCAGGGTAAAGTTATAATAGTGGGGGTCTCTGCAATCACCAGGGCCAGCAGAGTAATGGTCTGAGTGAGGCAAGATGGAAATTCGGTTCAACATGACTCAATAGCCAGTGTTTCAAACTTCTAGAGTCTGATACCAGGGAGTTTATTTTATAAATATTTAAGCACAGCATGATTTTGGAAAAAAAGATTCCTGCTGATAATTAACTCAGTACCTATGTGCACAATAAATCTTAAGAAACATTTACATCAAAAACTCTTTACAAAGTACATATGACCTCTCCCATAAAATTAGATTTATATTGGCTGAGAAACAAAGCTCAAGGTAAGTATCTGGGGAGAATGACTGAGAGAAACATAAAAGTCTGTGGGAGTCAGATTTGACCTGGCCCTACAATAGCATGGAGTGTTACCTAGCCTATTACAAAGTACTTGTGACATTTCCCATAAGGATGGGTTTCATTGACTGAGAAACAAAGCTCAAGATAAAGGTCTAGGGAGGAAGAGTCTGAGATAAACATAATAGTTGGGAAGAGTCAGGTGTGGCCTGGCCCTACAGATGCACAGGTCAGTATTTTCTACATCCACTCCTGTTCTTCGCAGAGAAAAACAGTTATGTATCTCTTCCACTGAAGCTACAACCGTGTGTGTTTAACATTCCTGGTTTCCCTAGTGCTTATATGTAAGCACAAGGGCCTGGTGCCCTCTACAAATGATAACTCTTTAAGGACACTTTGAAATTACTTCCAGGTTCTAGATGAGGATGTGTGGCATAGGATAAGCTGTTCTTCACAGATTCAAGCCAAGCTCTTGCTCTTCAGTAGACACAGCTGATAAGACAAAAATCAAGTTGAACCACAGTTTTGCAGGATCCTTTCATTTGAATGCTGCTGGACAAAATCAGATTGAGAAATAAATTTCACACATAAAAACAATCATTTCTGAAAGATGAAATGTTAATTGATGGTTTTCTCTATTTCCTCTTCTTCATACCTCCTTCTGTGTGTGTGTGTGTGTATGTGTGTGTGTGTGTGTGTGTGTGTGTGTGTGTGTGTGTGTATACAAGAGTATGAGTTCGTGTGTGTGTTCTAGAGCACCTGCATGTGTTTACTCATATGTGAGTAGGACAGAGGTCTCAAGTGTCATTGTTTACTGAGACCTTCTCCTTGAAGTTGGAGGTTGTAAATTAGGCTAGAGAAACTGCACAGGAATCCCAAAGGGTCTGTCTCCTTCCATCTCCATAGAGGGGAGATCATAGGCTCACACTGCCACGTGAGGCTTCTATGTGATTGCTAGATCTGGACTCATGTCCTTGTGTTTGCAGAACAAGTATTTGGTCTAGTGAGCTATCGTCCCTGACACAAGAAGGGATGTTTTGCAGATAAGATTCTCAATGCATACTTTCTCTCATGAGCCTAACTTAATCTATAGAATATATGGTTCATAGACCCTCTGTGGTGGTCAATCCCCTGTTGTAGCTCTGTACAAATACAGAAGTAGCTGGAGGAGAGTACAGTCTCCACATTGTTGAGAGTGTATGACTTATGAGAGCCTGCAAACTAAAAAAGACCATAGTTATCAATTTCTAGTCATTGTGAGTAGACTGGGGAATCAGGGACCAGCTAAAGAAGTTGTATCCTCACTTGTTAAGATCAAAAGTGTGGATATTCTGACTGGAAGGACCAGAAGTGAATATTTCCAAGGCTGAGCAAAGGCTTCAGTGCATACTGGGCTTTGTGCCTAGGAAGTGCTGAAGGGTAGCAGTGTGGCTAAATGGATGGTGTCCATAATGGCTCTTGTGACTTCAATGTGTCAGGGGCTAATTTTTCCCATATTGCCTAAGGTTAGGTCTTTCCTTTGTCTTGAGTAGAGATGGGCAGACATATGACTCAGTTTCTCTACTTCCACAGTACTCAGATTGAGTATTCTGGTCCCATTTGCTATCCTCCATGGCAGAAAATAATAATTTAATAGTCATCCTGAGTTTACCATTTCTTCTACTTCCATGTCCCAAGTCCTTGGGAGTGAGGCTGTGAGAAGCTTCCATTGATTGCTTAGAAGACTTTCCCAACCCAAGGCATTCATTGACAAAACACTCCCCCAAACACTGTGGTGCCCTGCACTGGCCATGACTTATGCTCACACGGACATACTGTGTCTGGGATAAATAGGGGCTGAGAGACACTGACACTGAATGTCCTACCTTTTTGAGCCAGCTGTCACTGGGGCCATGGCATGAGATGGTTGACTGGCTGCCACTGTGGTCAGACTTCCATTTTCACATATGGCAGACCATTGCTTTCTGACTCTCAATGAGAATTGTGGGGTGTGCTTGTTATTTGTCCTTATAGTCTCATAATATGGCCAGTTCTGACCTTATGAGGTAGTGATGAGTCATCCAACGTTGATGTAGGAAGCCAAACATGGGTTCTCTATTGGAGCAGCTACACAAACACACACACACACACACACACACACACACACACACACACACACACACATACACACACACACACACACACACACACACACACACACACACACACACACACACACAAAGCTTCTTGCAGGAAGAAAATGAAGCACAAGAGGCTCTTCTCATATCTTAGATGTTCATGGAGGAACAAGTCCATAACTCTTCAGGGAGATTTTATACATGGGAAGAGAAACATGGGTAATATTTCTGCTCTATGAAAATGCAAGCAGAGTACAAATGGGAATATTTCAACAGTCGGAACCCAGTGTAATGCTATCCTAAGGGGTCCTCCCTGAAACCCCCCAGATAACATGGAGGAGATTGTTGTTGCAGGATATTTGATCACACTATGTGAAAGGTACCTTCTGATTGGTTTAATAAAGAACTGGATGGCCAATAGCTAGGCAGGAGAGGATAGGCAGGACTTCCAGGCAGAGATAGGAACTCGGGGAAGAATCTGAGAGGCAGAGATTCTCCAGCAGGATGCAAAGGATGTCAGACTTAGAGTATGGAGGAATGGTAACGAGCCATGTGGCAGAACGTAGATGGATATAAACAGGTTAATTTAAGTTATTAAAGCTAGTTGGGAACAAGCCTAAAATAAGGCCAAGCTTTCATAGTTAATAAGCAGTTTCCATGTCATTATTTGGGGGTTGGTGGTCCAAAGAAAGTCTGACTACAAATTGTGTCTCCTTTTTTGTCAGGGTGGAGAGGCAACAGCATAAACTGTGAGTCAGGTGAATAATCTGCCTCCTCACCCCTTTCCAGCCCCTTCTTCTGTTCTTGTTAGAGGATGTGGGTGCCTCCTGGTCCTTGTTAGATGTAGGTGGTAGTTCCTCAGGGTTATGTTCTTGCCATTTTCATATCCAATGTTCCCATCCTGAGGAGATTCCAACCAGTATATAATATTGCGTGTTCTCTCACTGAACTGTAGGTCAATTACGTTCATGTCTCTAGTGGTGTTGATGCTCTTGGTAACCTCAGCATCATCCCATGGTCCGGGGATCCCACTGCAGTTGATGTCCCCCAGGAACCACAATACATCGAGGGATGTGTGACTGAATGTGGTGGGGCTGCCAGTCCCTTCAGTCTCAGCCTCCATCATCCCATGGAGCTCAGTGAGAAGCAGAAGTGGTGTCCTCCAGGTAGGACAAGAGGTCCTCAGATCTGTCACTAAATGAGATAGCACTCTCTGTCTTCTCAGAACTGTTGGTGTTAAGTGTATCTATAGTACCATCCTGTGGGGCAGAGTTCCAAGGTGAGCTGACATCCAGCATGGTGTATAAATCAGGTGAGCCGGACCTGGAGGAGCCCTTGCTGCTTCTCTTCATTTACTTCCTGCCTGTTGTTGTCCTCAGATGCCAGGAACGTGGGCAGGGCAGGTGGGGGAGGGAGGGTGGGAAGATGTGCAGGGCTCTTGACGGAACAGCTCTTTTGAAGTTGCACTATTTCCCCAAGGATGTAAGGACCACTTTTCTCCTGTAGAAGATGACATTTTTTTAAGGACATCCTTAAGCCTTCATGTTCCTCCAGTTCCCACAGTTTCTGCTGACACTTGGCTCAAGGAACACACAGTGTCCACAGTGGTGGAGATGGACCATCTTGAACCTGTGTGTCTGGATGCTGGCGGTAAATTGGCATGACAAGGATCCACACTCAGAAATTCCTTCTCCACATCTGACACCTTCACAGGTGGAGAAGACCCTAGAAGTGAAAGAACAAAAGCAAATCTAGCAGACAAGTGTATGATGATACAGCTCAGTCGGTAGAACACTTGCCGAGCGTGCATAAGACCCTGTAATCCAACACTCAGGAGGCAGGGGTCAGAGATTATCCTTGTTTGAAGTGAGGGAGAAGGGGTGGATGTCTAATTTCCAGAACTCTGGGAAGCAACGGTGAAAACATATTTTGTTGCTGCAATGTCTATTTGCAGGCTTTTTCAAACACACTGCCTTTCACCAATATTCTGAAAGGGGAGCAAGGGAAAGAAAGGGCCTGAGAACTCCTGTCTGCTCTGTGAGCCGTGTCCAGCAAAGCCTTTTTGATACTCACTGGATGGCGTATTTGAAGCTGAAAGTGCTGTCACATGACAGGCGTTTGTCCTTGCAACACTCCCACACAAGTCTTCACGGTGTGGTGTTCGGAGGGCCCGTTAGACAAGGTCTGACCGCACAGGAACACCCGGTTTCTCCAGCATTGACAAGTGATGTCCGCCACTCCACAAGGGTTTAAAGACTTCTGGCAAGCTCGGCAAACTGTCGAGGTGCACCTCTCTAGCACCCCACACTCCCACACTCTCCCTGGGTCACTGGAGTGCTTGTGGGGTCACAAGCATCCTTCTGCTCTAAGGGCTGGAAGCACAGAAACTCGTGGTCTGGTGCCCTGTGAGGATGCTTTGCCTTGCTATGCTGAGGAAGGACTCTTCCTGTGGGCTCCAGCTGTGAACTGAGCCTCTGTGACCACCCTGACCCTCTCCCAGGTCTCCCACCACTGTCGGGAGGCCTTCCTAATGGTCTCTAGGCTGTAGGCCCATGCCAAAGGTCTCTCTCCCCTTCCAGTGCCACAGTCTCAGGTGTCCCAACTGGTTCTTATGAAAGGCAGTGAGGCCTTATGGGTGGTCAGGGCTCCTGTCCCTCATGGGGACACATAGGAGGTAGAGGGAAAACAGCCTCCAGCCACCCCATCAGCTGCCTGCGGTGGCAGGCATTTGGGCTAGAGGTAGAGTGGGGGACACAGGCTGGGAACATGTTAGCATCCAGCACCTGTGTGTCAGAAAAGCAGTGCCTTTTTTTACTGACACCTGAGCTGGATGGGTCCGCTTCCCTCCACCACAGGTGAGAGGAAGGACAGGCCGTCAAAGAATCAGAGCTGAGAGATTGCCCCTCAGCATCAACACTGTCCTGCAATGTCAGCCAGCCCAAACGGGCTTCCACGGACAGCCAGATGTTTTTGTTTCATGGCACACATTATGGGGAGACAATTAAAATCTGATTGCCAACGCACACAGGTCTGACCTCAAGGAGATAAGAGATAATTTGTTCTTGAGACAAAGTTGAGCTGCCACAGCCAGCAAATGTGAATTCAGATTCTTCCAAATAGTGTGTTCCAACGTTTAGATGATTTCATACAGTATTTGATAACTGTAAAACAAAAGGAGGTCCTAAACACACTGGACGTGGTAATGACAAATGCATTGGTGAGGACGTCAGGTGTGCGGGTTACAGGAGGGGAAGGGACTCCCTGCTGCAGCTCTCAGACACTGTTGCATGCTAGTGGCATCTCACTGCACTGCCAAGGGGTGTAAGTCAGACGGAAGCCAGCAACAATGCCTCTGAAAGGACCGAAAGGGAGCCTGGGATAATTTGCCCGTGCGTCTGTAACATTCTAACTCTCTGTACTCTAATCAGTTCATCTGCCTGGATGCATCTTTAACAAGGATGAGCCTTTGGCTGGGATCCACAGTCCACAGGATTCTTCTTCTTAAAAAGTGCTAGAAGAACTCAGAGCCTACTGAAAGTCCTCACGCCTGTTCTTGAAGTTTATTACAGCTTAAAATAAGCAATTTGGAGAGGAAGGAAGTGGTTGTTAGAGGACAATAACAGAAGAGAGCCTGGGACAAAGATCTTCTGAGCTCTGGGCAAAGTGGGGGTGCACTAGGAGTAAAGCTGGGCAGGTCAGCGTCCTCTAAAGCAGATGCAAAGTCTGTGCGTGTGGTGCCTACTCAGGTCTCTTCTGCCCTCAATAATCTTCTCATTAATCTTCTCTGGCCAATGGGAGTCTAGAGGGAGGTAGAGATTAATGTATTTCTTCTAGAAGAATTTCCTTCAATCAGTAAAGGCATCTTCATAGAAAGCCCCCAAAGGAGCTTGGGGTGAAGGGAGAAAACAGGGGAGATTCAAGACTTATTTCCACAGTAGCTTCTAAGATGTGCAGATTTTCTTTCTCAAAGTGCTCAGCCTAGACTAGGCCCAGGGGTGGAAGACTGTAGCTCCAGCACTCAGAGGGCCAAGGTGAGAGGTTCATGGGGTCAGGGCTAGCCTGAGATCCTGTCTATTTTTTTTTTAAAAAAGGTATTAAAACTCGGCCGGGCGGTGGTGGCGCACGCCTTTAATCCCAGCACTCGGGAGGCAGAGCCAGGCGGATCTCTGTGAGTTCGAGGCCAGCCTGGTCTACAGAGCAAGATCCAGGAAAGGCGCAAAGCTACACAGAGAAACCCTGTCTCGAAAAACCAAAAAAAAAAAAAAAAAAAAAAAAAAAAAAGGTATTAAAACTCTAGAGTACTTTTTTTGTCTGAGCCCCAAAAGGACAATAGGGTAAGGATGTACTTTACTACTTCAACTGAGCAGAAATTCTTTCTCAAGTCACGTGCAGACTTTTCCTGTTTGGAATATGACCCTGTCAGAGAGACCTACAAACCCTCTAGAGAAAGTTTTTAAATGAGATGAAAGAGGCTTTAAATGGAGTCTTGTTTTTCTAAAACCCTGTACTTGATGCTTGGGTGTTAGAACAGTTGAGACAGAAGTGAAGAGGCCACATCACATCCCAGTGTAGCCTGCTGCAGAAGCGGGAAGGCTGGCCTCTGTGGCTCTGGCGAACTGAGATAACACAAACTTCAGAGGCCTGCTAATACCAGAAATAATCTCATCGCAGATCCCAAGTCTGGGCGGCTTTTCACTCACTCCAGGCATCAAGGGCTGCTGGGCCAGTCTGTCCTGTTTTTGTTTATAAATGCTGGAGATTTGGCATCTGGCTGATATGCCGAAGAAATGCTGGCTCTAAAGAGAGATTAGGTTTTTCAAGTACATTTCTTTTCCTAGGGCTAACACATCCATCACATCAAAAAGCATAAGGAAAATCAGAAGACAAAACACTACCCTTTATATCTTGCCCAGCATGAAAGGACTATTTATACATACAGATACCTTCCACCCTGTGTCCTGCAGAGACATAGTCCTTATTAAGTTGTCACTTGGGAACACACAGTATCATGAGGGAAGGGTATGTTGGAATCAACTTCTTCCACTGAACAGCATTTGTACCAGTTTGCTTTCTGTTACTCTAACAAAAACATTGGGCAAAAGCAACTTGGGAGGGGAAAGGATTAATTGCCCTTCACACTTTCCAGGTAGTCATTTGGTTACTGCTGATTGTTGGATCTATACACTTTTATTAATTTGTCTCTTCTCTTTATTTTGGTTGTTTTGGCCAAAGGGTTATCAATCTTGTTTATCCTTAAAGAACCAACTCCTTGTTTCATCAATTCTTTGTATTCTTCTCATTTCTATTTTATTAATTTTTGCTCTGGTCCTACTGACATCTTTACTTCTGCTGACTTGGGGTCTGAACTGTTCCTCTTCCAGAGCACTAGGTGCATGCTTTATCTGAGCTCTCTCTGGTTTCTTAACATAGGAATTTAGACTGTAAACTTCCCACAGGACTGCTTTCGTTGTGTTTCATAGGCTTTGGTCTGCTGCCTTTTCATGTTCATTCAATTCCAGAAATGCTTTCATTTCCTGCTGGCTTTTTCATCAAGGACCTGCTTGTTATTTATTAGTGTGCTGTTTAACCTCCATGAGTTTGTGTTCTGGAGCTTCTCTTGTTGTTCATTTATAGCCTGATTCCTTTGTGATGAGATAGAGTACAAGGAATTCTTTCAGTTTTCCTATATTTTCTAAGACTTGCTTTGTGCCCTAATATATGATTTATTTTAGAGAAAGTTACATGGACTGATGTGGGGGAAAAAATGTGTTCTGCAGTGTTTGGATGGAATGTTTTGTAGATGCCTATCAGATCCATTTGAGCTACAATGTCATTTAATTCAGATATTCCTCTTTTTATTTATCTACCTTGCATAGATAGAATGGGTAAATCAGAACCACAAAGTCATGGGCTGTTAAACAAAAATCCCAATGCCAGATTGGGATACTAGCCTACAAGTTGTTGTCCAGGAAATCCCCAGAGGCAACCAAAGCAATATGGATGAGTGCCATTGCTCTTGGTGGTCCACCAGAACCAGACGTAAGATGTTGTTGTTGAAGACACCGTACACTTTGGATAAAAGATACAGAGGCATCATGCTGAAACTGAGCTGGAAGCTTTCTCTTGCTGGCTGGCTTCCATGGTGGTAGAAGTTGTTATGCAGGTCACTGGGGACAAGAGTCACCAAGGGTCTTAACCTAGCTATGGACTTCATCCTACAATACCATCCTGCCAAGCAAGAGGTGCCGCACATGATACAGTGTTGTGGCTGTTATAAGAGTAACTAACTGTGTGCTGATTGGATCTGAGGTCTGCTCAGGAGGAAGAAATTCATGCCTGGTACTAGTGATCTGGTCAAAGGTCCATAGCTGGAGAAAGGCATAGCTCCTGTCCAGGATCATACTGTTTCTCTTTTGAGACGTGGGCATGGTGTTAAACCATCTCCTGCATGTTTATATTTATACCCTTTGATTAGAGCTGCCCTCAGCCTTGTCAGAGGTTAATGCAAAGACTCATGACTGGTCAAGATGCTGAGAAAAAGTAACTACTGAGTGTTCAGATCTCAATCGATATCCATATCACCCTTTCTAAGATTCAAGGAACATCGAAGAAGAGAGCATAGAATGAATGTAAGATTTCAGCCATGGAGAGGTGGCCAGGAAATGCTGACTTCAGGCATCATGTGTCTGTCTACTCACGAACTAACAACATCCATGGTTATCTAC